CAGAGGAGAGCGGGGCCCCGCCGGGGCCAGGGTCTAGCCAGAAGAAGAGCTGAGCCCAGTACGGGGAGGAAGAGGAGGAGGCGGAGGGCTGGGGCACCTACCTTGGGGGCTGGGGCAGTAGGCAAACTGGGGCCCATGCACCACTCTTCCTGCCCGCACTGGGCAGCGGGGCAGCGCCGGGCTCTCTCTGCGGTAGGGCAGCATCACTCCTGCTCAGGCTGAGCAGAGGTGGCCACATGTCACCAGAGCCATGCTGTGCCAACTGCCACCAGCCCAACAAATCCCTACAGTGCTGGCACCACTGAGGGCCACCACCCAGCAGTACCATCCCAACACCCAATGGTCCCCTGGCCCACCAGTCACCACTGTGCCAGCCCAGTGAGCTCCTGCAAGGGCAGGCAGGGGTCACAGACAGGGGACTGCTCCTGCCCAGGGCTCTGCTCACCTGGGGCTGGCTGGGCACTCAGGGCAGCACCGTGTCCACATGCCACATCCACGCGTCCCTCCAGTGAAGTAGGCTGTGGAACACCATGGCCATTTATATGCATGCCAAGAGCAAAGTCTAAGGAGCCTGCATTGCCCCTCGCCTCTGCTCGCCGCTCACCTCCTCCCCAGAAATTCCTGCAGTTAATGGGTAACCCCGCAGCATCCCCATCAGCTGCAGCACTGGGGTGGGGTGGGGTGCACAGCACTGGGTACTGCAGCACTGGCACACCCCTCCCTGCCTGAGACTCAGCATCGCCCTTGGGCAAGCCGTAGCCAGTGGTGGGGAGTGAGACAGGGCAGTGCTAGAGCCCAGTGCCCAAGGGGCAATGCCAGAGCGGCCTCAGCTCTCCGTCACTTGGTGCTGGGTGCTTCATCCCCTGCACCAGAGGAGGAGGAGGAGGAGGGCTCAGTGCTGGTGCTGCCAGAGTGTCCCAAACTGGAGGTGAGGCCACATACACATCCACTGTCCTTGGAACCATCTGAGCACCAGTTGTGAGGGACCTGGCTCTGCGCAGGATGCACGGTCCTCGCTGCCTGGGCATTGGTGGCAGGTTACATTAGCACCAGTGTGATCCCTGTGCCCTGTTGCTGTTGGTGATGGTGGCACATGGCCTGGCTCAGCCCATGCCAGTGGGTCAGTGTGGAGCAACTGGCAGTGCTGCGAGGGCTGCATGGGGCAGAGCCTGCATCTTCCCAGCATATGTGATGGGGTGGGCAGGAGAGGAACGACACCAGCGCTGCCGTCACCACCTCCTCGATGCTGTTTATCATTACCTGCTGTTTATGCACCTCCAGCCAAGTTTCCATCCACCCACGAGGTGCTCAGTCAGCTCCTGTCCACGTCTGCCCTAGGGAGAGCCAAGGGCCAAAGGCTTTTCCAGCCCCAGTGACTGTGGGGAGTGGGCATGGAGGGTCCACACAGTCACCACATCCCCATTCCTCCCAGTACCCACCACCGTGGACAAGCCAGCTGTAATTGTATGGGGAGAGCAAGTGGAGATCCCTTGGGCACCCCAGGGTGCTCGGGGACAGCCTGGGGACATCCCTGTCATGGCTGGATCATCACTAAGCCTCCACCAGGTCATAAACCAATGGAGCTGAATGCCAGGAGTTGCCACAGCAGGGTACATGTCCTGCCTCTGAGAGCTTGGGGACCCTCTGTCTGGGGGGTGCAGCCACTGGCACTCACAGAGCCCTGTGCCAGGCAGGAGGCCAGTGTCCACACTTGCCCCATGCCAGGGGGCTCTTGGCCAGCTGCCCCCACAATCATTAACCCAGTGAGGCCCTGGCAGCTCTGGTTGTCACTCATTGACACGGTCAGGGCTGAAGTCCTTGGCTGTGCCTGCACTGCAGCCTCCCCTACACCATCAGTGGTGCTGGGAAAGCAAACCCCTGGCACTGCCCCTTGCTACAGGGCAGGGTGGCAGCGGAGCTGAGGGCTGGCTCTAGCCCTGCCCTGGCCCCGGTGTGGCTCTGTGGGGTATAGGAGGGCTGGAGGGATATCACTGGCCGGAAAAGCACCATCTGGATTTGGTGATGGAGGACAGAGAGAGAGACACGTCAAGGCAATGCTCTTTATTTCCCCTGATTTCACACCACAGACGGGACTGAGCAGCACCACAGAGACACAGTGGGGCTCTGACCAGGGCTGCAGGGCTGCAGCTGGCCATGGCAGCGTGGGGCTGGGTGGCCATGGCCCCTGTCCCTGGGTGAGCTCTGGGCTGCCCTGGGTCACCCTCTGTCTTCTGGCCGGGCAGGGGCGGCAGAGCGGTGACCCAGGGCACAGCCAGGCAGGGCCCCAGCACATGAGGACGATGGAGGTGGGGGGCTGTCTCCATCACAGACTGGATCTGGGACCTCTGGGGACATGGGGCTTCTGGGGATGGGGACCTGCAGGGCACAGCCAGGTCTGGCAGAGCTGGGCTTAAGGTTCCAGGCCAGCACAGCTGCTGGCAGAGGTGACAGACTGTGCACATGCTGGGTACCTGCACACCAAGCTGAGATGCTCAGCACCCAGGGGTGCTGCTTCCCTCGGCACTAGAGACCTGAACACCTCCAGGATGGGGCAGGGAATCTACAGGGATCTGCTTCTGTGGGTTGCTTCAGCAGCCACCACCACAGGGTCTCCCTGCAGGGAGGAGGAAGGCTTCTTTGGCACAACCTGCTGGCTCTGCCTCTGTCTGCGTGGGGCAGGAACTAGGTGCCCTGCTCCACAGCAGTGCTATCGTGGCAGGATCAGGCCCAGCCACACTCACACAGTGCGGACGGTAACAACCTGCTGTGCAGGGCCTGCAGGGCCATGCACATCAACCATGGGGAATCCCTTTTCCTGTGGGGTCAGGGACTGGATCCAGCCCTCAGCTCTGGACACTGTTCTCCTGACCATGCCTGCCGACAGCACTGAGGTCTGGGGCTGGACCCTGCCTTGCCACCCTCCCTATCCTGCACACCTTTAAGTTAGAAGGGTGCTTTTCCTACCCAAACAGTCAGCGGGGCTGTGCCAGCCCAGCACAGGCAGGATTTGCTGGGCAGGTGGCTCTGCCACAGGCAGAGGATGTGGGACATTGCAAAGTGCTTTGCAACGGGGGTTCAAACTATGTACAGGACTCCCTTGACGTGCACCCGGATGTGACCCACTGAGGGGCAATGGCAGCTGCTCAACCACTCACAGTGACACGACACAACAGTTTGGGGCAGGACGTGGATGGATCTGTGGTCCGGGCAGTGTCAGCGGTGCAGGGCAGGGGCCGGTTGGGCCCATGTTGAACCCCGGCATGGCCCGAGGGCACCACACACCAGGTGTGGACATGCAGCAGGACTCATCGGAGCTCATGGTCAACCGGAGGCTGGGTCGGCGCGGGCTCTGTGGGCTGGAGATGGCTGCTCCCCTCAGAGCCTGGGCAATCCGGCCCCTTGCAGGCACTGCCGTCCTGTTTAGGGAGCTGGAGGAAGTCAGGCAGGACCAG